CTTCAGTGTTGTAATAACTTTAGGTTCTAGAGGCATGAAGCTAGAAGGTTTTACCTATCAATTTATATGGCAAATCTCACTCCATTCCATAATCTAATATCCTTGGGAAGCTTTTAAGAGTAAAAGGCATAATACTCTTAAAATTATTTCCCTTTATCACAAATGCATAGATGGGAATATGAAATTTTGACAAGGAATTTGGCTTATGCGAACTTGTTGATACATGTAACACACAGTCTGCTCCTATCATCATCATGCTGTCTATTTAATAATTCACAGTTAAATACAAGACCTCAGTTGCCTCAGCTCAGTAGGAATAAAATTAAGGAGATTTACATTTTTCCTGCTGAGAAATATGGAATTCTGTCTAATGTTTTATCCTGTGTCTTTTAAACTTGTCAGAAACACTGGTGCCAACATAACACTCTATCAGTCAGGAACTAAAATATGTATTTGGGGGCTGTGTCTTCCATTATGCATCAACTTACCCAATTCCTGACAGAAACCAGTTACAAAATATGTCTAAAACAGATAATTCCAATAATAAAATAGCAATTCACAGTTTTACCTGATATATTTAAAATCTATTGTACAATTTTCTTCATTGCATCTGTTTTTCTTAAAAACAGATGCAATGTGTTCCAGTGAAGCAATACCTTTACCCCTCCTTTTTCTTTATATGTCAGTTAATAGTACAAAAAACTCAAGAACAGTTGAAAACTTAAGATGAGGTACTGAAACTGGTTTCTTATAATCCTATTTTATGTTAATGTCCCTCAGTCAATAAGGAAATGCAAATTAATTTCAGTAGAGACTCAAAAATACTCCTGAAAAGTAATGCTTTTAGTGCAATTAATGTGGTGTTAACAAAACCACCTAACAAAGATAGCCATAACAAAGAGAAATGGAAAGTGTACTGGTTTGTTAAAGATATATTGCATCCAGTCACTTTTATAAAGAAGGAAAAAGTAACTCCATAGTTTGTCTGGATTTTAGGAACACCTGGCCAAATCTTTACATACAATTTTTACTCAATAAAAAAGACAATTTTACTATGTTTGTTAGAGCAAACATCCTTGCTATGAACATGACCTCTCAATAGTTTTATTTTCCAAATCACTGTCACTGATGTACACAGGAGCCAATTTAAAAGGCACTTTGTGGCCAAAGAACAATAAAATGGTTACTGTGGGAAATAGTAAAAGTAAGTGGAGCCTCCATCACTGAAAACTTTCAAAACCAAACTGGATAAGGTCATGAGCAATCTCATCTGTTGATCCCACTTGCAGTAGGGGATATGGAATAGATTCCAACCTCAGTGATCCAGGGATGCTGTGAGATACCAACCAGAATTACTCAACAGGTCAGGAATATTTCACTTCATGCAGTTTTAGGCTACCTGCAAACAGCAAGTGTATAAGGTGCTGGTCACCCCAGCTGGGTCTGAGCAGAATCAGAGGTGAATGCCATGGTGAGTGCTGGGCTCTGCTCTCACACCACGACTTTGGTCTCTCCTGAGACCAGTGGCTACCTGGGACACACCCAAGCCTGCACTGCCTCTGCCACCTCCTTGTCTGCATTACCCATTGGCATCCACTGTGCTGAGCACCATAATGTCAGCTAAACAAACCCACTGGGTTCTCCTAAAGATCAGTACAGATTGGTATCAGATTGCACTGCAGCTTTGTGTCCATTCCCATTTGCTCCATGACATGTCTAAAAAATTCAATTATGGAAAAGTTACTAATTTAAGGACAAAACTACCATTATAGTAAGCTTCCTGGAATAGTGCATAACAGCAAAATACACAGTCCTGTTAAACTGGGTTAATGGCTGCTCTGCCTGACCCAATTTCCCCCTTTTTTCCCTTCATTCAAGTTTTTTCTATTTCTCATGTCCCTTCTGCACCCCCCTGCTTCTGTGGGTTGCTCCATTTCTTAGAGGCACTAAATTTTAACTCAAAATCTGATGAACAAATGTAGCTTCCCGAGAAATAATTGTGTTTTCAAAATAGTATAGCTTTGGGGTAGACATGTTATTCCATATTATTTATGCAACAGGAGTCTGAATTCTTCTCAAAGAGGAAAACTCAATAATCTCAAATTCCAGAAGATGTCCTTTCACAGTACAGAATTCTACTCAATCAACTAAGTTTTATATTCAGGTCACTACCTGACTTTAGAACACCTACAACCCAACTGTCCTAGAGGAGATTGCCATTCCAGAAGTGGATAATTCAGGCTGGAAATGGGCTCTCTGTTGGGCATGGTTCAGGATGAGAATGAGGGTAGCCAAATTTAGGGTCCAGGCTATGTATTATCACAATCCAGCTCTAGGGAAATGTGGGCACAACTCCATGGACTCAAGCTTTAATTAGGTCTGTTTTCTGCTTTTCTGAAAGCACCAAGGAAATCATACACCTTGGGAATTCTGGGGCAACTAGCACTGCCCAGTAAAAGAGCTCTGTTGAGCAAAACAGCCACAGAGGTGTGTGTGCCTTTTGGTCTTCTGTGCACAAAGGAACAGCCTGTGTACTTTGGGGCAGAGAGGGCCAAGGGAAGACAGAGGAGGGAAAATTGCTGCCTCTACAAGAAAATAAATCAGAAGAAAATCTAAAGGTTGACTGCAGTATTTAGTAAAGGAGTAAAACAAAAGCTGTTAAAAAGAAAATAATTTGTTTTTTGAAAGGGAAAAGCAGATCCACTCTTTGAACTAGCTAACCCCATTAATAACAGAAGTGAGCAGATATATCAGCATAATCTAGTCACACAAGCTCCAGGGCAAGCTGGGTCCCATTTACTGAAACACCTGACAGTATTTTATTGGTATTTAACAAAACTGGTTAGATTACATTTAGGGCAAATATATCCAAATATATCCATTTAGCTAATACCTTCAGCTGCAGTGGAAATATACCCTTTTGAGAGTCCATCTGCTCTAAAAAGTCTACAATATAAACTGTGTTAAGAAAAGGATGCATTACTGAGCCTGTTTTACATAAAGACTAAAATATTTCTAGCTGTTTCCTAATAATTTTTGATGTCAGCAACACAGGAAGACATGACTGCCTAGGAATTAAACCTCCAACTCTCAAATTCCAATACAATGTGTTAATCACAACATTAGTCTTCATCTGAATGTTAATTTGACATGCATTTAAACCAGACAGCTAATCTCTGAGGTGAGATATTTTATTTTAAAAAAATAACCATACTGAACATATAGCCTACATTTTGGCTCATACTGCTCTTGATACCAGCTCCTGAAAATAGTCAAGATATTGGCTGATAGTTTTAGAACAGGATTGGTAAAAAATTAAGTCTCAAATTTTCAGCATATGGAGGCAAGTAAAACATTTTGCAAGATGCAATATTTGAAGATAAAAAGTTGGATTCTTCAGAACTTCATGCCTTTATATAGTGTGTGTCTGTGTATTTATAGATACAAAATTTTAAATGCTTGCAACTGAAACAGAACTTTTTGTTTTAATTGCATTTTTGAATTTGGTTTTAAGCAAGAGCAAATGATTACTTAAGATGGTTAAGATTCAGACCCATCAACTCATCTTTTTCATATTAAGAAACATCTCATGAACATGAATATTGCTGTTTACACAGCCTAATCCCACACAATATCATCATGACTTCCTGAAACAAGTTATTTTTATGTCTCTATGATTTATTTAAATGTACTTTTACCTCTGCTGTGATGAAGAGATTGATTGTTAATACACATCTAGAGCTGATATAGTGTTTTACAGCTATACATGACTTACTAAAAAGGAAATAAATATGCACAGTTATGCTCATTTACAAAGCAGCAGTTAATATTAATAATCACTGAAAGAGAAATACTGTTTTATGTTTGTAATTAACTGAAAGTATTTTTGGTTGGAAATAGAAGAATTTCTGTTACTTTTACAGATTCACTGTTACAGACTCCTTACTGTTACAGATTCACTCTACAGTGAGGTTTAAATATAATATGTCCATCATTGCACTGTTTACAGTGTGGTTAGAAATCTGCTTGTAAACTATTCACATTCCACAAGCACACAAATACCACAGTCTCCCAATAACCAGGGCTGAAGCTGCCATTCTTATGTGAGAAAATTCCAGTGCATTATCTAACACAAGTGTGCTGGAAGCCCGTGGACTATTCAGAATCAAAGTGGTCCTCTGGTCCACTGCTCTGCTGCCCTTCTCGGTCCTAAAACCAAAGTGATGCCATTATAGTCCCAAGGGTGTTTAGTTATGTTTGCTTAGGTTGTGATCACTGCACAAGCAGGAATTGCTCATTTGAGACTGCCAAATTTGTGTTCTTTTTCTAGTCCCTTCCTCAGACCTCCCAAACCCCGATGGTTAGACACTAAGTATCTTCCATTCTGTCTAAAGTACTTCCAATACTTCATAAGCTCTCAAGCAAACTCTCTACTTCACAATGGAGTCAGGGACTCACTTCACTAGCAAGTGAGCAGAAGTCAAGAAAGAATAAAGTTTTCACACAATATTCAAACATTATTATGTAAAGAAAACTACTCACATGAGGAACACTAGGCTGCTTACATCCCTATGGACTCTGTGTCAACAAAAATAACAGTACCTTTTTTTCTCTCTATTCCCAAAACAGCACTCAGAGTAAACCTGCAAAACTCGGTAGATTCCAGCAAAAAAAATTCAGTTCCACCAGACTAATGCCAAATATGATCTTTCATATCTCATTTCTCTAAAAAGGGAATGCATTGTGTTAGACAGGAGTTGGCACAAACATAAGATATTTAGTCAAAACATCCAAAAGGCTCCTGCATGAGAAAATTGATACTCTAGTAGAGAAAGTTGAGGATTATTTAATGCACACAACTGTATAAGTAGTCTGTTTTCTGCAGTGAGAGGAATGGAACAGAGTACCTACTGACCTAAATACAAATTTTTGTCCAAGACAAACATAAACTCTTATTTTTCAACTCTCGAGCAACTTCAATGGGACACACAAATACGTACCTTGAATATCTTTTATGTGCAGATTTTCTTCTCAGTCTGAGTTAGAAATATTCATCTCCTGCACCATATGACCTATGAAATGTGTTCAAAAGCACTAAGGTTATCTATAAAATACTGTGTTTCTCCTTCCTCAAAAATGTTTTGTTATTCAGACGTTCTCTATGGCTTTTTATAGCTTAAGTCTCAAATGCATCCTAAGTCCTCCTGCTAAATAACTGTACTGGGCCTGGCTAGGACAGAATTAACTTTCTTTCCAGCAGCTCCTATGGTCTTTTAGTTACCTGCCCAAAACAGAGCTGACAGCACACCAAGGTTCTGCCTATTCCTGAGCAGTGCTTGGCCAACACTCAGGCCTTCTCTCTTCCTCACTCCTGCCACAGTGAAGGTGCAATACATTGGTAGAGGATACAACCAGATGATCTGAACTGAGCAAGGAGATATTTCATGCCATGTAACACCACATTCAGTCATGACAAGGAATAACAGGGGCCTTAGGTTAGCTGTCGTTTCCTTGGAACTGAATGTTCATCAGTCCTCTTGCAGAATGTGGACAGTAACTTTTTGCCCCACTTGCTTCCTTTCCTTCCTCTCATCTCTCATCTATCCTTCACTTCATAAACTTTAAAACTTTTTTTTTACCTCAACCCCCAAATTTTATTAGTTTTTCTCTTCCCTCATCTCACAGGGGCTTGGGGTGAGTGAGTGAGCAATTTGTGGTGCTTAGCTGCCCACTGAGCTTAATCCACAAAAACAACATAATAAACAAAAGGAATGATTTCCCACCTTTCTGTTGTGCTGCCCAGTGATGTATGAGTAGGAACTGGGTGTTTATGCACACTTGTGACTAAGCCTGTATTTGTCTTACAAGCAGATATGGGCTGTCCCATTTCTCCACGGCCAGATGCAGATGGGCATGGTATGACATGACCAACATCTCTGAGGGATGCAAAGAATGCAGGAGTGGGCTGGGTGCCAGATGAAGTCCTTACCTAGGCAGCATCCAGCTTGGTTTCTAGTTTGCCTATAGGTCAATTAGCATAATGAGAATAATTTTGTGTAACGCTATACACTAATTATGAGTTATCAACATAAATGCTGTCAACAGACTTGCCCCAAACTAAACACAAAAATTCTACCAAAACATACCATGAACTGCACATGTTTCTCACCCAGGGAAGAGGATGTGTGAAAAGATTGTGACAGATGTTAGGGACATTCTTTACATTGCAGGAAGATGTTTCATGTCTATGGTAATAAATGCTTTACAAGAAGCCATAGAGATTTATGGCATAATCTCAGACAGATATTGATATCAAGTTATTAAATATTTTTAAGACTGAGAATATACTAGATACAAATGATAGTATTTTTGGGTGTCATCCCACTAAATACTTGTTGCTTTTACTGCAATTCATAGAAAGGTACCATTTGTATTACCGAATATTCTTAATGTCCTCTCACTGAGCGCTAAAATGCTGTAATACATCAAAAATAAAAACCACTTTGCATTAAATTTTCATACAAAAATTTTATGGGTAAAATAGAAATCCAATGTAGAGTCTAAGTTAGAAGTCATTGCAAGCAATTTTCCCTACTGACTTTAAGGGGATTTGAACCTGTGGCTTTTGACTCTTAAAATAAACACTGCCTTACTGTCACGTATGAAAAATATTGTGAATAGTGAAGAACTAGTTTAATCTACTTCTTGGAGCACACAGAGAATCTCCTAAAGGGGCTTAAAGATCACCGCACATCTGAAGTAAAGCTCTGTCTTGCATACCACTGAAATATTGTAAAAAGATGGCTTAAAGAATGTGATTAGTAATAGGGATATTTATTGATCATAACAAAATATTTATTTTGTGTCAGTGGTCTGAAAAAAATTGCCACAATGAAGAGCAGGAGCCTTAAAGATAGGAATCCTGACTTCTTATGGCTCCTAAGCATGTGCTAGTTTTATTTACACAATATACACCCCTGTGCTACTTTAGGGAAGCTGGGCATACAATTCCACACAATATTTATTTCCTCTAACCTTATTTTAAAAATAAATATGAGCCATTCAATCGAGTCTGATTTTCTTCTTTCTGAAAGGATTCTGGAATGCTGATCTTGGACCATTCTGCACCTTAGCTGGTTTGTTTTTATTAATGGTTAAAACAACACATCTTTTCTAGGTTTATTTTTAAATAACATAAAAATATAAATGGAGAAGGGTTTAATACAGAACAAACAAGGAACAGTATTTTACAGAAAACTTCATGGCTAAGCAGATGTCTAACCTACCTTGAGACCAACATGTTATGCAAATACAGTACACAGCTCTCCCTTGTATCCCAGGGCTATGTTTTGCAGAGCAGCTGTTGGTTTACTTTCCACATACTTTTTGAATACTACTCATCAAAAAAGAACATAAAAGACCATTTAAAACTTAAGTAGTCAGGCATTTTACAAGGGACCCTATCATGCCTCTATAAAGTGCTGACAAACCACACTAGATGTGTTGTGCTTTGAAAATGTCTCACCTGATTAATGTCACCCTGCTGTCTTTTTGTTACAGGTGTCTCTGTTCTGCTTTTTCTGAAATAGCAATCTGAATTCTGGAGAATTTCAGGTAATTGTGCAAAGAACTCTCTGCCAGTATTGTGTGCAATTAAACTTCCAAAAGTTACAGCAAAGACTGCAGAACCTTTACTGTAATATGTATCAAGTAAAAAAGGCCAATCATCTAATCTGAGTTGCACTAAAAATATTTTCTCCTGATGTTCAACAGATTATTTTGATTAAAGCATGCTTCATAATTTCCTATTGTAAAGAGTGATCTACAAAAATCATGTCTAGTTTCAAATGTTAAAAAAAATTTAAAATACTCGATAGTATTTTATTTAGTATTTATTTATATAGTAGTTTTTATTACCTCATTTGCTAATATACAGTAATTTCTTTTAATCCGCTAGACTGAATAATCTGGTTTTGAATACTACTTACTTTATCTCAAATGTTTCCATTTAGTTCATGAAAGATAATATCAAGAGATGGCTTGATTACTGTCTGCAAGTGCCACCTTAGCTTTACTTTCACTAAGCTGTGCCCCCAGTCATCCATGATAAAGCATGTGTGCCAAGAACTCTATCTTTCTTTTAGGTTTTCTCTATAGAACTTCCAAGATTTCTGCATTCTTCTTGATGTACAATTGCCAGAATCAAGTTCAGAATGAGTGATGATCACAGCATTAAAAACCACTGAATCAATTTAATTCAACAACTGTTTGATATTCCCCTTACCCATTCATCTAAGACTACCTTCATTCTTTTGTGTCCCCTTGACACAGGCAGCTGATTATACCATGACCCTTCAAAACTCCTTAAGAAGTCTGTGCTTTGTGAGGGAAGAATAAGGCACTCTGTAAACAGAACCTACAAATAGTTTCTACATAGTGATTTCTCTTTTGCTATCTTTCTATTCTTCTATTTTATTATCTTAAATCTTAGCTCTGGAATATGCACATGGAAGTGTATCAGACTTCTAATTGAACTCATCTGATGTCAGGGAGCTTAATTACATTTATATGGAATATATCAATTTTAGAATTACTCCCTTGTGATATTTTCTGCTGTTTCCCTCATGAACAATTGAACACTGCAGACTTATTTCTGCAGTTTTAAGTGTGGAAGGATATGAAAGCTTAGCCTTCCCCATTTTCATTGTTTTGCTTCCACCTCCTTTATGATGCTTTTTTGATTCATAATTAAGCTGACTCTAACATTTGAATGAAATGTCTGTTGTAGAGAAATCATTATTATATTATTGTAAGAAAAGTGTCACATTATGTTTTCATTTCATTTTTACCGAAGCACTGCTCATTACTCAAGGGTCTGTGTCATCTTCTTAAACTAATTTTTTCATGAGTTTCTCCTCTCCCTGCTCCCTGTTCTTTTTTCTGGCTGCACTGAACACCGAACTAACAAACTTCTGGTAGTAGCACCTTTACACCAGCTGAAGTTGAAACTCACTTAGAAACTCACTTACAAACAGTGAGATCATGGCTTGAATTGCAGTGCAGTGGACACCGAACAGGTGTTTTTATGAAAGTACACCTAGGACATAGGCCTGGAAAACATACACAGACACCTTCCAGTCTTCTGTCTTGCAATTTCAAAGATTTTGAAATTGTACCAGAAAGTTCATCTACATAAGATTAAAAATAATTAAGCCATTTCTCTGGGATTAGGTGACTGATTGCACTCAGTAAACTTTTAGTCTAATGAGTCTTTACACAGCACAATTCTGGAAGTAATTAAAAGTAAAAAAATTATGTCATTTTAGTGAAGGTGAAAAAAAGAGCAATTAAGGTTTTCTAAATTTAAATAAAATGTATTGTGTTTTAACCATCTGATTTTAAATGAAAGACCCTTTTTCTTGCTTTGTGCAAATTCACAGATTAAAATTTAGCACTTCTGCAATAAGTATAACAGATTAAAATTGTGGGCCCTTAAATTAGCAGGAATGCTTGCTAGTCCCTTCAGTGAAAACAGAGGCAGAAATAGACCAAGGTATTTTCTAGGTGAATAATGATACAGCTTTCTTTAAATGTGTGCAATATTTCAACATTTTCAGTGTTAAAAAATGAATTGTCTTTTGTTTTATATTGTGGAGACCGAAGAATGCATCTCAAGTAGTATTTAAAAATGGTTTTCATTTCTACATCTTAAGGAAGAAAAAAATCATACTCAAAACATTTTCAATAGTGGCAAAAAATCTAGCACTAGGAAGTTGACCTGACTTTTTGGCTAGTTTCCATATAAAAAAACTTTTCTTACATATAAGATACTTCATTTGGTTAAAGGATGAAACATATCTTAGTAGATACCATGTACAACAGAGTAGGAGCTATGCTAGTCAGAACACATTTATACATAGTTTTTCTAGTAAAAAGTAATCTTTGCTAGCTCAATGAACTATTTTACATGCTATAATCTATGCTAAGCTAGGTTTGTCTTGCAGAGCAGACAGTGACCTGAATTCCAAGGAAAATATTTAGAATTTCATACCAGAACTTGAACTCTAGATTCTTCTCAACAATCCTTCTGTGATTTCTTTTCAGCATATACTGGTTTCTTCTTATTCCAAAATGTATCTTCTATTTCTTCCTTGTGTTTGTGAAACAAGAAGGAACATGCAAAGAAAAGAAAAAAAGACAATGAAAAAACACACCTCTGGACAGGAAGCCTTGCTAACTCAGAAGTGTTGCAGAGAAAAGCACAGGCACGAGACCCAAAAAACAAATGATGCAAGCATATGCTTACATAGACAGCAACTCCAGCCCTCACTCCCCCTTTCCCCCCCTCAAATGAAAGTGTTTAGCACCTATTTGCTTACAGGAATACAACTCTGAAGAAGACTCTTAATAAGCCGAGTAATGTCTGGTGCAGGTAATTGCAATGCAGCCCACTCCTGCAGGGACATCCTAACTATGAAGGTACTGCAAAGATCTGATCTACTGCCTTTCCTCTAGAGAAGGAATACAGCCTAAACATCTCCTCCTGCACCTATGCATGTTCTGAGCAAATAAAAGCACAAGTTGTAAAAGAGATTCTTTTAAAAGGTTTTTTCCTGTGTTAGTATCACTCAAAAAAGTTCTGGAGTTCCTGGTCATGTTACACTGATTAATTTTGGTACATAGGACAAGAGCAGCAACTGCACAGTCAGCAGTTGGATTTCCATGCCCTGTTTAACTTAAATGGAATCACTGCTTTCCTTGTATTTGGTGTAGGTCCAGAGACTGAGGCCTGCAGAGCTGGTGACTTCCAAGGGAACGTTGCTCACGGTACCATGATAAAATGAACAACAATGGAACATCAGTTTTTCTAGTCACTATTTAAAACCTGTTCAGCCCACAAAATACTTAGAAAAAAAGGTGGTCAGAAAGAAGTGATTATAGTTTAGCAGTTCAATTATCTTGTGAGATGCAAAGTAACACTTTATGCACCACCACTGTCCAGTATCATTAATGCCATTCAGATTGTGATCATTCAATGTTCTACCACACTTACAGCAACACCACACTGAGCTGTCAGATCTACTCTAACCTACAAGGAGTTCCTGCAAAACAAACTTCTGAGGCTTCCACTCAATACAGGCTGCTCAGCAATGTTTATGCTTTTCTTACTGGTAGGAAAGTACACTTTCCTTACCAGTACTTAAGTGTCAGTTGCAACTTTCAAGGAATGTGAGGGTTTATTGCTGTGAACAATATAAATTTCACCTACTCCAATAAGCTCAATCAATAACATCACATCCAGTGATGCATAAGAGAAGGCTCTGCATTGTCCAGGTTCAAGTATTGTGGGCTTCTTTCTATTGTCCTAAACTTACACTACTTCTTCCCTAAACTCTGCCTTTCTTCATGCAAATTCCATTCAGAACTCATTCACAGGATCACTACCATAGCTTCCTAAAAACCACTTTCTTTAATGAAGTATCTTTGATGAATCTTGTTTGTTTTAAAGACAAGAGAAGTTGCAAGATGGTTCTACTAGCAGCAAGATACGTCTGTGTTGGAAGCAGACTAGAAACCATATTCTAGTCAGGTTCTGCTCAGGGTAAAACCTAATGGTGTTACCATGGCACTGAGCCACAGCTAATACACTCTGTCTTTATATTACACCAAACATAAGCAGATATCTTCTCAGTTTCTTCAAGCTTGGGCAGCAGGAGCTTACATATGTTTAAAAATTACACAGATGCATCTCAATGCATAATTCCTTTAAGAAATAAAATAGCACCTTTGTACTTCCAAGTAGCACACCCAAGCATGTTATGGAAAAATATACCTGAATGACTAATGTCTCTCCCAGAATTCAATTTGTGCATTATATTCCTTTGTTTAAATACTCAACCTTTAGACAAAACCAATCTCTTATATATATCCATGAGGCCAAACTCAACAGAATTCCATACCTAAATGGGCCCTGCTGAGATCATTATAACTTCAGTTAAAATTACAGGCTTCAAAAGAATTCCAGAGAAAAAAATCTGCATCTTTGTACATATGTGAACTGCAGCATTGGTTTTAATATTATATTTACTACCAAAAAAAAAAATGGTATAAAAGACAGTTACACCCTTTTTTAGTATTGTACTCACAGGTGTTTGATATCACACACAGTTATACCCACTCATTCCTCCAGTATTTCGGTAGTGTTCCCCAAACAGTAATAAAAGAATATTCTCCCCAACCTATTCAACAAGACAACTCTGTAAGCCATAATTTACAGATACAGAAAAGGGAGACAGAGAAGTCTAAGTCCAAACTGTTTCGAGTACTCTTTATTTCCCTACACCTGATGTTCAAAGGTTCAACTTATCAGGACACTCAGGACTGAGTAAATAGCTCTGTTTCACACAATTTTGATTGTACTGGTGATGTCGAAACAAGGGCAAATTTGGCTGCGTGCATCTCACATCTGTTAAAAATGAAAGGCCATCTGTGAACCCCTGACCTATATTACCTACCCAGCAAAAAATAGTAATTTAGTAGCCAAGACAGGCAGATACTAGTCCTCTAAGGCAGTATTCACTTCCCTGAGCTAACTATCCTTTGTCTTCCTGCAACATTCCTCTTGTGCCCATTCTACATTTGCCTGCAGGTGATAAGGGGATGCTGGGGAGAAAGCCTTTTAAGAACAGAAGTGAGAAGCACTACAATGGATAAATTACAGTCACACCAACAACCTAAAATAAGAAATGTCCTAACATTTTGGCCCTTTAGCTATATTAGAACAGTTTAATTTTTATACCTAATCATTCGCAAAATACAGGAATTCTCCTGCTGAGTTACTATGGCTCCATGCAGTCTAAGCTGTCAGCAGTTTGACTTCTGCACCTGTCAAACAGACTTCACCTTTGTGAATAAACAGAATCAATACCAAGCCAGAAAGCACTGAAGTGAAGAGAGGTTCTTTGCTTGTTCTCACTGCTGTTCAAGGAGGAGCAAAGAACAGGGAAGTTCTACTCAATGACTTGGCTGCAGATACTGCCTTTGGAAAATGTCATGGGCAAACTCCCACTAACCTCACCTAAGAACATTTATAAACATATTTTTTACAAAGGCTTATACTTAGATCAAACACTTCTATTTTCACAAGAACAGGAAAAAATACATTTATAATACAAGGGCAATAATGAAATAAAATTTGAGGTCCTGGCTCAATGAAAAGGTTACCAAAAACATTTTTACACTCGGCAAAATGACTACTCCCTAATCTTGTTCTTGAAATTATTTAATAACTGACAAATTTATAAGCAATTTGAGGCAAGGTCTACGGTAACTTAACTAAAGTAAGCACAAGCAGTACTTCTGGTTACTTTGTCTACAGGCATATTCAGTACTGGCATAAAGTCAAGTGGATAAACTGAAGCTAGAGTCACAGCAGTTTCCATCAGCTAAAGATAATGTTTCAAACTATTTGTATTTTTATGGATTCCTCCTCTGATTCATGAAAGTCAAGACACTTCCATTGAAAACATCCAGTAAAAATTACATGGTAAGTAGCTATCATCCCTTGTAAGAAATTTCAATCAGTATATTACCTGTCAGTGTTCTTTCATATTACCCACCCACTCCAAAAGATGGAAGCTATAAATCCAAAAAGTCCAATGTTTGGCAGATGTTTGCAAATGTTCTTTATTTATCAGACACGCTTGAGAAATCTAGGTGTAAAACAGCTGGATGGGAGGAGTTGGGAGGGCTCTCCTCTGCCACGAAAGAAGTCAGATGCAGAGTTTGTACCTCATGGTCCAGAACCACAGAACACCAAACTTGCTCCAGCAGCTCTTGTCCATGTGACCCAAACACACTGACAGTGCAGCAGCCTAGCAAGCATCCCAGAAAGGAAGACGAGATTACCCTCAGTAAATATTAGAGAACTGTTTTCTTCATGCATGCTGTTCTACTTATGCTATTCTCTCAATGTTACACACGTATTAGCAAAGACTTCCAGTGTCAGAATGAAACCCCCACTTAGTCCTGATCACCAAGTCAAATGTGGAAATGAGGGTTCACAGATCTTCTGGATATCAAAAATAATAGGCTTAACTGGAGATACTGTCTTTAGTGAGTGGTGACACTCCAGCTAAGGCCTTCAGTGCTCTGGGTGGGAATGATCTGTTTTCTTTCTGCCCAGGACAGAACACTACCTCAGAATTTCAAACCATACTGATGTCCCCTTTTTTATGTGGGTGATAACCACACTTTTCATCCAATGAGCCATTTCATTGCCATAATTGAAACAAACTTACAGCAACTGTTCCAAATTTGGCCTAAAGCTATGGTTAGATGAACAGCAGAGCTGATCTAACTAACCAGCTGTACCAAAAAGAAGGGAAGCACCACTCTGGAGCTTGTTGATCCATCTCTAAGTCCATTTAATACTCTAGAGCAGCAGAAAACTTCTCCCTAGTTTCTTGGTGGTTTAGTTAAGTCTAATTTGGGGGTTTAATGACTGCCAGGGCTCAGAGAGCATAAGCCATAGCAGCAGCCCTTCCCTTGTTCTGAGCAGTGGCTGTAGATGTCTTCTAGAACTGCAGCCCTGGTTCATTGTTTGCTGCTATTGCTCAAAACCTGAAGAAGAGTTTGCATGCCCAACAGTTTGTGTGGTTTTCCCTATTGTACTAGTGGATGTACCTAAAGCTGCTACACCTGGAGAAGCAGATGTTAAAGTAAAGCTCCTCTGTTACAAGTCTCACTGGTTTCACCCAACTTCACAATAAATACACTGAAAGAGCTTCTCTGCAATTAATAGCAATTTTGAATTGGAGATTAATCCAATGTAAATTTACATTTTAAGTTTTCAGCAATAAATACATAAGAGTTACACATCAATAGTAGATTTTAAACACTAGCCTGTGTAAGGCACCAACTGTCACTGAGTACATAATTTCAAGTAAATCTATTTGCATTCTCTGATCACTATCCACACAAAAAAAACCCAAACCACTTGTAGTTTTAATAAATATATATTTGGGATGAAAGCATTAAAATTTACTTTATCTATGATATATCAAAAGAGTTAAGATGAAAAGCTGAAAAATATTGGTTTGATTAAGCAGCTCTTCAAAATCACTTTGTATGCAGGGAAATTCTACAGCCAGAATCAACCAAGAATACTTACTCAAAATATCATTTATATCATATAAAGGATCTTTTGTCTCTGCCGCTAGTACTGATGATTCTTCCAAAAAGTAAACAGCAATTTTATAAAACCATGAAAGAAAGAAACATCTTTAACTTCATTCAATACACATATTGGCTATTTAAGAGATGATCTTTCATCTGAAAGAAGAACTGTGTTTTCACTATGAAATTAATCAAGAGTCTGCTTTCTTACATATTCCATTCTTCTTCTTAAGGAAGGAAATAAATATAATTACATTTGCTTTAATCAGTGGTGACACTTCTCTACAAATCATTCAAGACTTTTGTCTCAAGATCTACTACTTTTTTTGTGGCAGAGAGAATTTCTCTCTCTGTCTGATCTGATTAGTGGTAGCCAGCACTGAAATCTATCTAGAGAATACTTAAAATGTGGATTCCCTTACTTCAGAGGTATTTTGTTTGTACACAAAGACTTTAACAGATGTAACACAATGCAAAAAGTCAGACTGAATTACAAGGGGTTCCCCAAGAGCTTGTATTTCAAAAACTAAGCTGCAACAACAGGTGAGCAAAACAAATGTGTAGGGTGGAGTTTGAAAGATGGGAATAACAAACCGGACATGAGCGATTTTACACAATTACAAACTGGGGCTCTCCCTGCTGCCATCAGATTGTACTCACAGCTTCAGCTGACAGACAGTAATTCTGTAACACTGCCATCAACTTCATGCATGTAATGAGAATCACAGCCATGGATCAGGAAAATATCACCGCTCACCATTTAGGTCTCACTGCTATTCTTGCTACATCTCCACTGGTATGTTGTATGTGGGAAGGGTTCTTTCTGATAAGAATTGCTGTGGAACATAAAGTGGTTTTCCTCCTTGTGGAAGAATCCATGCTGAAGCTGAGCAAAGGAGCCAGGAAAGGCATCCCCTGTTTGCAGGGTGGATACCTGTTCTCCAGCACTCTGCTCCATCTCCACGTGTGCCTCTCTAAAACAATGAGCACCAACTCAAGTGCCAGTGAAGACTCAGTGTGGGAAGGGAAATCTTGAACCACTACAGACTGCAGCAACTTGAAGTTCTCTGTGATGCACCAGTCACTGACACAACAGCATCTCAAGGAAGTGAAGATCCTCCCAATAACTGTTATTCTCATCTTTGACCTCTTCTGAGAAAGTAAGTTTACTTGTCTTTTCCTGGTTAGATCTTTCATGAAAATAGGAGTATTATGGCAAATCAGCAGGCTACTTTCTTAATTCCTTTCAAATCTCAAAACATACATAAACCAATGGCAAACAAAATTATTCTATTACAGGAAAAAAAATGACCAATGTACAGCAGTAAATCAAGAGTTTGGTTAGCTGTTTGGAAAGCTACTGACATATGCATGAATTTCACTACTAATAATTGAATAAATGGTTTCAGTTTTAGGTAACCAGTCAAAATTACTTGTTTCACAAGTAAGAACTAATAGTGGCAGCTATTGAGACCATAGTGCTCAAGTAACACTTTCATTCCAGAAGGGGCCCACACTTGACAGTGAGCAATTTCTGGTTCATAAGCAGTAATCCTGATAAGGACAGCAACACTTCTATTTGCCATGGACACACATTGAGACAGACACTGACTTGTCACAGCCTGATGGAGCTGGCTGCCAGTGCTACACCTGCTCTGCTCATTACAGGCTTCAGGCTTTGAGACTGCCAAGCTGTTACTTTTCATGGCACTACATCTATTGGAAAAGTTTAAAGATAAAACCACAATAATCAGGAAAATATGCTTCATTGTAAGAAATGCACTACCCACCATCACTCAAAGGCACTACCCACCATCACTCAAAAGAGACAGCTACAACACTGATACAGAATCAACTTTGTTTCTTAGTCTTTCAAATATTTAGTCTAATAATAGAAATAAAACTTTATCCCAGACAACTGCAACAAATGTTTTTAACTGAGGATTTGTTAAACAACCCCAAGCTAAGGCATATTTTCAACACCAGCAGTATGTCCTTCTACGGGAAATGATCAAAACTTTGCCTGGGACTATTGTACTTGTTTAAAAAGGGTCTTTACAGCCAAAACTGCAAAAAGGAACTAATAATTTGGGTTGTTGTTTTTTTTTTGGTTTTTTTTTTTTTTTTCCTTACTGGGATGTTCTAATTCAGATAGCTGGAAGAACATATAAAGATGCTGTTGGCACCACTCTTTCAAAAGGTCATGATAAGAACAATTCCTATGTATCCCCAACTTGGCAAAAATCAAGATACAAAGTTCAGACACTTCACTTTTATCTGCACTGCCCTCAACTTTTCTCTTCTGTGCATCCTACAGTAACTTGCTTAGCAGTCCTAAAAATGGAGCTGCACAGGAGCAACTTTAAACCAATACATTTTATCTCACTTTATTTTGCATATTTTGCAGGCTTACAAGTGAAACCTAGAGTTTTTCATTTCCACTTTAAATCCTAGAGTGTCCATAGAGCAAGGAAAACCAGCTGAGCAGAGTGTTAAGCTCACTTTCAGTATTATCTCCTTTACTGCTTTCAGCTGAGGTCTGGGCACATAGAATGCCACACACATTGTATGTTTTTATCTTCTTTTTAAGGAAAATTGAATAAATAAAGATGAATGCTATTTGATCGTTGAATGAAATGCACAACTAAAGCAGTATTTTTCCTGTTTGTTAACTTGACCACCCAGCATACCTAAGAGATTCGCTATTACAGCGCTTTCACTGTCATGAGCGGTCTTAACTTGGTTAACACTTTGGAATTTCTGACAGGGAGATGTTAAAATCCACACAATGAACCCTGAAATAATACAATTTTCCCACACTTTACTGCTCTCATCCTCTAATTAATACTATGAGGTGCCAGTGCATAGTTCTAGACAAACAAAAACGATAACATGTCCTTTTGCCCCAGCAGTGACAAACACCAAAGCAATCCTTTCTGTTCCCACGTGGAGAATGGCAGCAGGTACAAAACACAGGCAGTGTGATAAGGGACACCTGATGCCACAGGAAACAGAATCGTTTACTAGCAGGACATACAAAGACTTTCACACAGTTATACTGTAAATCCAGGTGGCTGGATGTGTGAAGCACTACCTCCCCACTAGAAACAGTGACTTTGCTTCTTCACAGTGGCAGGTATGCTGAGTATAAAAGAAAAATTAATCTTGTAAAATTCATACTTCTGCCTCTGTACAGGAAGAGAAGAATGTGTCCCAAAACTAGAGGATGAAAAATCCACTTTGGAAGCAAGCTGCAGTTGAAAGGACAACTATATATAGGATCCAAACTCTATCCCATTTTAAACACCAACAGACAAGAGGACCAGGAACAGAAGTCTATCTAGGTACAACTCCAACATGTTTATTAAATCAACTGACTTAGCTTTTAAAAATACATATTTATGTGGTTTTTTACTTCAACAGAGACTATTTTTGCTTAAAAAAAAACTAAGGAAAACAAAACCCAGATTAAAAGCATCTGGGATCTGTCTCTGGCTTCAGGGTATAGACATAGTGTGATGCTACTTTTAGGTATTATTGTTTAAATTTTATTTTAAATTAATACACTTTGAATAACACAGTAACTTAATTCTGACCATTGACACCCCCCTCTTTTAACTATTTGGCTAAAATGATGGATAACAAGTTGCTAATAGAAAGAGGTTACCATTTAACCACTGAGCCAGAAAAACTGCACTTGAATGGTGCAAAACTTTCACAGTTCACAAACCAGCCGCAGGAAACTGCTGGGTTTCTGAGCATTGTCTGTCCTTCTGACATCCCATCGCGCGTCAGAAACTGACACCAACCTTTCACTATCTACGGTACCAACCATGCTCCCTCTCCGTTGTGTATGTGAGATGATTCACTTGCTTTTATTTCAGGGAACTGATGATTCATTCAATCGTCTCCAGATCATATTAATCTACTAAATATGCACATAAAGGAAGCAAAAATCAAGTTCTTAAACTTTTTTATGCTCACATGTTTATTTTTTTCTTTGAGGGAGAATAGAGGCAATTAAACATGGGAGACGAAGCAGGACAGGTTACGTTTCTGCTCAAAGGCAAGGTTTGGGGAACACACCCAACCCACGTGTAAAGCGAGCAGCCGTATTCCAGCGGCGGACTGCGAGCGGAGGGGAGCTCCCGTCCCTCCCGTCCCCTTCGGGCTGGGGCTGCTCGCTCTGCTCCGGTACCTGGAGCGGGCAGGGCGCTGCGGACCGGTGCGTTCCCCCCTCCGCCACACCGAGGGCTTGTGCCTCTCCTCCTCCGGTGACATCTTACATAATAAGCCGAGGTAATCACGCCGGAAGCGAGCCAAACCGCCACGGAGCATCAGAGGGGATAACTACCCGCGAGAGGAGATGCTCGGACCGGCACCCGCTCCTCGCTCACCGCCCGCCCCGGCGCCTTGCTAGAAAAATCCTCGCCGGGGCGGCAGCGGCTCCCGCAGCAGGCGCCAGACGCGGAGCCCTCGCTCGTCCCCCGCCGCGCCGCGCGCCGTCTCCCCAGGAAGCCGCCAGCACCGCGAACGGCATCAGCCTCTGCCGAGCGCTCCCAGCCCCGCCGGCTCCAGCCCCGCCGCCCTGCCCGGCCGCCGCTGGCTCCCTCCTCAGCGCCGAATTGGAGGAGAAAGTTACTCGGCGGCGGCCCGGCGTCCGCCGCCGCCGCAGTTCAAGAGCAATGTCACGTTCAACAACTTGTTATGACACATGATCCCCCCCGCACGCATCCGCACCTCGCCGCCGCTGCCCGGCGGCCCCCTTACCTTCCCCTGCAGAGGCCACGGGCACCCGCGGGCGTGTGCGGGAGTGGGTGCGTGTGGCAGCGCGGGCGGCGCCGGCTGGGCGGGCGGGCGGGCGGGGGAGGGGAGGGCGGCGGAGCGGCGGGAACGCGCCTCGCCGGACTTGTCAGCGGGCGGGGGCGGCTGCGGGGCGGCGCGGGGAGCGGCGCGGAGGGGAGCGCGGGGGGCGGAGGAGTTCTCGGGGCTTGTTTACGCATTGCCGCCCGCCCGGTGCAGGCGCTGCACTCTCTGATTGGACACAAACTGGGGCACAGCCCGGCTAGGGCGCTGCCGCCCCGGGGGCCCCCGGCGCCGCTCGGCTGCCGGTGGAGCCCCCGCCGGGCTGCGGGGCTCGGGGCCGCCGGTGCCCCGCGGGCTCCGCCGGCTCCCGCCGCCCGCCCGCCTTCGGACGCTGCCCGGCCGCCGCCCCCGCGCATGCCCGGCGCGCCGGCGGGCCCGGGACGCGCATGCGTCTTGCGCGTGCCCGCTGAGGCGGAGGGGCCGGCGTGGAGCCGCTGCCCGGCCGGTGCCAGCGGGAGCGCGGCTGGGGCGCTCCGCGTTGTCCTCGGCGGGGCGGGGGCGGGACCGGAGGAGCCGCCCTCGCAGGCGCTGGTTATGTAACCGGGGGGTGTCTCTGGCGGCTCGCGCCACCGCCCCTGTCAGCGGCAGCGCCTCGGGAGGAGGGGCTGCCGCTCGGTGCTCCCGTGGCTGCGTTTCCCGAGCGGGGAGGTGGATGCGCTCCCTCCGCCCCAGGCACGGGCGCCCGCCGAGTAGCGGCAGCGGCCGCTCCCCTTTTCTGCCCCTTCCCCGGACAGGTGCGACCCCATCCCGGGGCCGGGGACGAGCAAGAGCTCATCTACAGTCAGACCCTTCTCCTTCGCCCGCTCTTAGCGCATTCCATCCCGAAAACTTCAAAGTTTGGGCAGTACGCGGTGTCCGCGCCTCGGTGCGGAGCGAAGAGCCCCAGGCGGCGAGAGCTGCTGTGTGTGGGCAGCGCTGCTCAGAAACACCGCGCTCTTCCCTCAGTGTAGGCAAAAGGCCACCCAGCAATGGGTATTTTCTCCGTGATTAATTTCTGCTGGGGTGGGCACGACTCATATCCTTGGTAAATTCCATTGAAATAAACAGTTTTAAACCAAGGAAATAATCAGAACATAACACAACTGTACGACATTACTCATATACTCATTATCTATAAATAAGCAGCTCCTTAATGCTCCTTTTACTCCCATCCCACAGTCAGCAAATGACAATAAATGTAACAGGAAAATATAAGCCATGAGAGCTCTTTGCAATAGGAATCCCCACTATGCATCTCAGTACACACCACGGGAACTTCCCTGACTCATTTTCAGATGAGTAAGCTTCTCAATCAAGTTTTCCTGGCATTTGATGGTAAAGTTTTCAACTTCCTCATCCTGAGAGCAGAATCAATAGTCCCTGTAACCTGTTCCATGTTGCCTCTTGCACAAAGCTTGGGATAAGGGCCCTGGCTAGAACCATTTCCTTGCAAGCACTAGAGTGGTCCGCCAGCAGTCAGGGCTGCTGCTACTAACTTAGATTTAAATCTGCAAGTTAGCAGCTTTCCTGACTTCAACTTTCATTCTTATATGAAAAGTAGGAGTGCAGTTTTGAAAGACTTATTTTAATATATCCATGATGCTTTCCAAGCAGTATTGCATTAAAAAAATTTTAAAAATCTATAGAAGAGTTCTCTTGTGCCTGGTTATTTAGAACTTCTCCCTTTTAGTTGCTTCCTGGGACAAATTACCAGGATATCTGAATTAAAGATGCTTTAACATCATCTGAATCAGGTCACATCACCACATTCATTTAGACAGCAGTGAACCCTGTCAGTAAGTATATATTCTGAGGCTTTCCTGGTCAGACTAGTGTTGATCTTGACTGTCAGGTCAGCTGTTGATTATATCTGTATTTTTGATAATAAGCCAGATTGGTTTTATCAGAGCAATGCATTTAACTCCAGAGAGTTTATAGGCAATGGGTGTCACACAATGTAGAGTATTATTAGAGATTAAAAGAATCTTCACTGAAAAGAAACTAGACTGCCTATGCTTCAGACAATCATATCAAGCTCACCGAAAACTGAGACCTGGGTCCTATCATTAAAAGTTTTGGGGACTTTTGTAGGGTTTTGTTTTGGGGGGTTTGATTATAAGTTTTTATTTGCAAAAAAAAAAAAAAAAAAAAAAAAAGAAAAAAAAAGAAAAGAGAAATTCTGAATCATGAAAGAACAGTTTCAGAGAGAGACAGTAGTTCTTTATCTAAAAGGAAAGGTCAGAAAGAGAACAAATTCCTTCCTGCACATCAAAGTAGTTGAGCACTCATTGATTTTACTGGAACAACTGATGCTGACACTAAAGTCACAGAAAAAAACATACCAGAAGATAAAATTATTCAAGGTATTATTACAATGTAGCTACCAGTGATGGTCTAGACATGGCAGGACAGAGCTCAGAGCAGATGAATTTTGTTTACCAAGAGAGCAAGGAAGGCACATAAAGCCCCCAATGTAAAACATACTTCAGTACTGACAGTTCTCTCACCAAATGCTCTGAGTCTACCTAAATGATAAATAAAGATTTCCCTTTTCAAGGGTTTCTTCACAGCCAGGAGGGCCATCTATTTAAATATAAGTACATAAATATGTAACTGTAACTTTAGATGAAAGTTTATGAACTTCTCACTTGTTTTCTTGACACCAAATAGCGAGAGACTAATACTTGAAGCACAAGAGTTGGCACTATTGATTTTGTGTGTAGCAAAACCTGAACTATAGATTCTATTTTATATCTTACACAATACTGAATTTTTAGTGTAAACAGATTTTGCAGTTTCATGGTAGATTTTGCATACAGGAGAAAATGGTTTGCCCGGTTCAAGACTCAGTTCTCTAATTATCTTTCTTTCACTTCCTCTGCTGATTTTATTTCTAGTAGAGTGAGAAGCCTTAAACTGCTCCCTGGGGCTTCCTCCTTGATCCCAAGCTTTGTAAAATGTGGATGTTTCCTTAAGATGATGGCTTTTATAAGCTGTCAGTTAATTGTGATTAGAGCAACAGCCACATCTGGAATTCCTCTTCTACTAATGCATCTTTGGAGAACTGGCATGAAAATTGTACTCAAGTGTAAAATATGTGGTTGAGAAATATTTTCTCAAACTAAAAATAAGCAAAATTATATTTGTTTAATTGGTTTTCAGCAGTTGCTACATGTAGGTTGTGGGTTAACTTTCAATTCATTAGTAGATTTTGCCTGTCAAATAAGCTCACAAAATCTCCAGTGAAGGGCAGGCCACAACCTTTGGGTATATCAGAGATCTTCAGGATCCCTGGCTCTTGATTTCTGACCTAATATACATAAGTCTCAGTGGGTGCCCTCCCTACCTTCTCAGAAATATTGCCAAGGTACATTTTTCCTTTTCCAAAGATTACATAGAAATTGAAAATTATGGCTTTAAAATGTCTAGCATTAATTATGCAGCTTTCTTATTACTTCTTGCCAGTGAGTGATAAATTCCTCTCTCCCTTTCATCCAGAATTTGACTACTTTGCAGAGTACTAGGGCACTCTAAAACTACTTCCATTTGAAAAGAGGGTATCAAAAAATCACTCCTAACTCCCTATTTAGAATCATGATGCTATTTTAAACACTATTTTACACTATGATTTTTCATTCTGTTTGTGTTACTAATTAACTTGGTCTCCAAGCAAGGTTATCAATTGTTTACTGGTCAGCAAAAGGCACTCTTGGGCTTTACTGAGCACAACTTAGTGTTGGTATAATTGCAGAGTATCTCATACCAACAGTGAGACTAAATTCTGAATTCTGCTTTTTGGTAGATATTTTCAACTTGAGCATTGTTTTATTTCTGTTCTATAAATACTGAAACACCCTGACATATGAATTATGAAGCAGAAGAGAGTGCTCTCTTGCCTTTGGACTGGACTGGGAGTTTTCTTTCAGTTGCAGAGGGGAAGAGCTGTAAAACACCTGCCCAGCCTGGCTTCAGCTCCAGCAGAAGTAAGAATTGTCAAATATCTACTGTCAGCTGCAATAGTTTTACAAAGCTATTCCAGTAAATTTGCCAATTTACAAAGTTGGTATAGAGCCTACCACAAGAAAATTTAAGAGTTTACTTTCTTCTCATGACAGAGGCTGTTGAGCTCCTTGGGTAAACAGCATATTTAATCCTTTATTGGTGCATCATAAATATGCACGTAAAAGAAAAATGACTTCTGTGTTGGAGCACAGCTACAGCAACATCATGGTTAGACCCTCAGCAGGGAATTCTCTACTCCTGCAAAGGCATCAGGGTCTCCACAGATCTGCTCCCATGCTTTAAGGTAGGTCAAATCTCATCTCCACTTGTGCTGTTCCAGAAACTTTCTCTACTTCCTTCCATTTCACTACTTTTTAACTCAACCATGCTCTATATTGCAGTATTATTATGAAGCATTTTGGTTATATCAGAGAAAGGTGTTTCCCAGTTTGATTTTCATCCTTTTATGGAATATGAACTAAGGTATAATTACACTACATAAGAAACCATTACAAGATATCATTTCACAGGCAGGCTAAAATATCTGTCAATGACTATGGGGAGTCTTCCTCCAAAATGGAGAAGGGCACAGAGAGGTGGTCTTGTGGCAATGAGCTCTATTTCACATTGGGGAGTTCTGCTCATAGAGAATCGCAAGTCCATTTTAACAGACTAACCACTAACACCATTTGAGAGGGATGGCAGGACAAGGCTGATACCTGGGCTCAGTAATCACAGCAGCTCTTTCTGAGAAAGTCTGCCTCCTGCCAGTGAGGAAACAATCCCTTACCAAGGAATTGAGAGCATAATTACTGAATGGTGTCTTTTCACAGCCCAGAGAACACACTAGACAATCACTTTTACACTGCCAAATGGAATGAATGCAGGAAAGCAGGATGGAATAGCAAAGTCTCCAGGGACTTTTGCTCTTTGTTTATAGATGAGGACATGACTAGTCTTCTGCACTGCCCCTGCCTGTGGTGTGCAAAAC